TGTTTATCCAAACGACTTCTTATTGCAATGTTCAACTGAGATGATATTTAATGCTGTTACTGTTAGTTTGGCGCAAGGTCACAATAATTGAGCATACAGTAAGAGTCGAACTTACTACCGAATAGTAATTGTTAAGTTTAGCCTAGTATTGATACGAGAACTCGTACTGGAACTTTCTGAGTAGTCATTTCTATGCGCAGTAGGTGTTTTTATACCAGGTGTAACTGCAAAACTCTCCAATTGTTAGATTAATCTTTGAACTGTTGTACAGTGTAACCCGGATATAAGAGAGTTGTCGGGACCGGAGAAGAAGTATCTTATATCCGGGCTTCTCTTATATCCGGGTTTGGTCTATTGTATATACATTAACACAGGCTCTAATTTGGGACCAGAGAAAATCTCTCTTATATCCGGGTTTCTCTTATATGCGGGTCTTTTACATCCGGGTTACACTGTATCTCGAAAATGATAACCTTAGTGGAATTTTCCGAGTTTTTTTTCCTCGAGAATTTGAACTTTTGGGTCATTATTTTCTTGGTGTAGAATACTGCTGCTGTCGACAATTATTTTCCTGTATTGTTTCACCTTAACATCAAGAAACTAATTAAACAACTAGAAAGAATCAGTATATATATATATATATATATATATATATATATATATATATATATATATATATCGGGTGTAACAGAAAAATTGATCAAATCGTGTAAGAGCAAAAGATTGTTCTCAATTGTTAGATTAAGCTCTGAACCGTTGTATCTTAGAAATGATTAAAGATATTTTACTGGAATTCTCCGAGGTTTTTCTAACACTATTAGACTCTACTTTGAGCAATACAAATATATAATTACTTTTCCAAGCATAAGAGAATAATCGTGATGAAATCTATCATGAATGAAAATGATATGTTCATCATTAATTAATCATAGCTAAAGATCCGGGTTCATGAAGGACTGAAATTAAGTTCAAATATATATATATATATATATATATATATATATATATATATATATATATATATATATATATATGCAAATACGTAGAAAAATAGGAAAAACACGTTAGGTAAATAATCCGGAGTTCTTTAGTATTTTTGTTTGATTTAAAAAAAAACCCCGAAAAACAGTGCTTTATACAGATGTACAGCATAAATTATAATTATATTTTTAATAAATATAATTTTTTCGCTACATAAGAGTTATCAGTTTTCAAGAACCAGGGCCGAAACCCTCAATATAATTCTTAAAATTAAATTGAATTAATGTATCAAGCCCCGTTTCATCCTCAAGCGAAAATTTAGGAATAACAAATTTTGAAATTTACGCATCTTTATCAGCATGTTCATTCGCAAAATTAATTACTATGGAAACGGCTGTGGAGACGATTTTGGCAAGGGGTCTAAGAGTTAATTTTTATCCACATATCAGTCACCTCCAGAAAGAAGTCAAGCCGAGTTAGGGTCGGGGTATCCATTTCAAAACGAATGATGGCATTCATGTGCGCACATCGTCTGGTCAGTCACAGCGAAAGATAGCTTTTGGCACCCATAATATGTCGTTAAGTTTCTAGATAATTTTGTTTTATTTTGTTTATTTATTTATTTATCCTTTTATTTTTTTAATTTTTTTTAATTTTTAAATTTTTAAAATTTTTTTTCTAAAGGGCTGTTTCGTACTTAAATGCGTCGCACTGGACTACAATTTGCTTTTTTTTTTGACGACTTCATAAAGGGTTTTACTATCTTATGATTGAGTTAAGCTTTTATACCTTTTATTAAACTATGGAATTTAATTTTTTTCCTTATGCTAATTATTTAATGAGAGAATTTGTTGATGTCGGCAGAAAACCGTTAACTCATGTCTATGGTTTAATAAATTTTCATTATTTAGAAACTTAATAATGTGTATTTATTTCATATAGGCATAAAGGGCATGGGTCATCCCAGGTTTTACACGTACTTGTCCTGTTTATTATTTTCCAATTTAATTTTAATAATTAGATTAAGATTTTCGGCTCCCGTTTTTGAAACATGAGAACTCTTATGTGCGAAGGAATCATATTTTTAAAAATATTAATTATCCTATATATATATATATATATATATATATATATATATATATATATATATATACCGGGTGTAGCAGCAAAATATATATATATATATATATATATATATATATATACTTATCTTTCATAGTTGTTTAATTAGTTTCTTGACGTTGAGGTGAAACAATACAGGAAAATACATGTTGACAGCACCAGTATACTACACCAAGAAAATAATGAACCAAAATTTCAAATTCTCGAGGTAAAAAAAAGCTCGGAAAAAGATATCTTTAATCATTTCTGAAATACAACGGTTCAAAGATTAATCTAACAATTGAAAAGTTTTGCTGTCACTCCCGGTATATGAAGCACCTACTGCGTATAGAAATCACGACTCAGGAGAAATGTTTACCCAAATTAGCTCGTTAACCATTACTTCGCACGATGGTGACTTTGTTATCTACAAAGTTTTTCTTTAATCCTGCCACATAACCACAATTATTCAGGTGAAATGTTCACCTAAACTAGCTCGTTAACCATTACCCAACTCTGGGTCGACTTGGTTATCTACCATAATTTGCTTATTTCTGGCACAAGGACACAAATATGCAGCACCCATTGAGCATCGAAAATACTAATGTTCAACTAGACAAACTGACATACGGTGTCGCACTTTTTTTTTTTGACAACAATTTGTTTAGTTCTGGTACAAGGTCAAATATGAGAGATTCAGTGTGGTTCAAATACAGTACTACTTAAAAATAAGCAAGCAGACTATCTCGTTAACCATTACCCAATGATAAAGCCCCTTTGTCATTTTGAAAAGGTGACTTAGTCTGGGCCGAAGAACAGGAATATAAATGACCAGGTGCTAATTGTCCTCCTTAGCAAGTAATGATAATTTTTTTTAAGAATCATTTCAAGATGTATTATCTCTTGTTCAGTAGGTGAGTCTTAGAGTAGGTTTGCACAACCTTGTGGGTAATGACTTGTATTCCACCCCTTCCCCACAGACGAAACCTTGCTAGCCTCCAGTTACTCTACTGCTGTTTTGATAGTAGATCTTCGGTTGAGCATTATTGAAATTGTCTGGATAGGATCAGCCAGCTACATTGGACAGCCACCGTCTTTAATAGAAAATACTCTAGGTTTATAGGTTCAGCGATATAGCCATAGATGTTTGTATGGCGACATCTTATTTAATGGCATGTCTTTTGAATTTATAGTCAAGACAAAAACGAAGAGGCACAGCAGTAATGGATAGCGAATGAGGAATCAGAGACTGGTTTTCGAATTTGTTACATTCATTTACGTTTAAATATCCTTGGGAAAGTTAAGAATCCACCTTTTTTTTCCTTCCCCCATAGGTGTAATAGCAGAACCTATAAAAGGTTCTATAGTCTTGGGTGGAAAATGGTCTAGGAGAAGGAAAATTCTGAATTCAAAACCTGGAGAGGGTCGTTTGGGGTAGAGACTGAAGGAGATCCACAACTCAGGAGCTTGGAGAGAAGATGAGCGCCGCCAAGCTAAAAAAAAAGGTCCACTGAAAGGATCATTAGGAAGAAGAATTAAAGTAACACTATACTGGATCGACAGCTCTCAAGTCCCCATGGCGATAGTAGCAGTCGATGATACTGATGATGGTGCTGGCTGTGGGACCGGGCGCTAATGCATGGGAATCCCAGGGAAGGTTGCTAGAATATGTTGGGACAAAACTACTGTAGTTTAAAATCAAGTACGAGTGTTCCTTGATGACAGGGCAATATCCCTGCGAAAGGTGATATTTAAAACAACAAAGCACAGTAAACTTTACTCTCACAGCGAAGGCAGCCATAGCTCTTATTGTCATATTTATGTCCTTTTGAATTAATCATCGAATGACTTTTTTATAAATATTTTCATTGTAATTCTTCTGATGAACATTCCTGTATGATACCTAGAATTTAGGAATGTAAGCGCAGTACTAGATTGGCAGTTAGGTCTCAGTGTTTTGCAGTTGAACTGACTAGATATAACCGTAAATTCTTTACTAATTGTTTCTTCATTCTAACTTATGGAACTGTATTCCGGCTTCTTACTTTCCAGCCAACTTTAATCTTTAAAAAATTAAATGCAATGGCATCGTTATTATTGTAACCAACAAAGGGTTACTGAATGAGGAATAAACAAAACGGAGGTTAGAAATGAAATGGTAATCTTTATAGCATCAACAAAATACAATACTCGCCAGCGGCGTGAAATAGGTAAACCACTGCTAGTGGTGGACTACTTAGATAACATATTACCCACACTTAGAATAGTGTCCAACGTATTTATGTGGCTTGGGACATGTTTATAGGTACGGTATATAGCAGTTATCTACTGTTGTCTTGATTTCTTTTCTTTATTCTTCTCTCTCCTTAATATTTTTCATTTCCTTATTCTTTCAAACTTCTTGCGTGTTAGTGACTTTATTGCCTTGCTTGTGGTGAAATAATTAAGAAAAGAATATGTAATGTTCATGAAAAAAAACAAAAAAAAACGACCATCGGTATTGAAGATTTTTCTTCTGCCAAGAAAGGCCCAGATTCTATTCCTTAATCTTAAACATTTTATCTAGACCTGGTCTCTAAACAAAGAATTGGTACAATGTAAACGATAAAGAAAACTTAAATAAACCAAGGTCTTTTTTTTCAAAAGATCGGTTTAACGAACACAAAGAAGACAACTTGTCTGGCTTTCATGTTCCGTGTATACTAAGAACGATTTAAGAGAAAATCTCAAAAGTGAACACATCCCATCGTTGTTGTTTTAATCGAGAATCGTCTTGTAAGATTGTGAAAGTCTCTCCATTCAGTCTGGCCACACACCGCACATCTCATCTAACCCGCAAAGCAAGGGTTTCTACATTTAACATGAATTCTGTTTAATTATAGATTTATCTATTGTCGATAGCTTCGGTGTAGGGTATTTCATTGTCGAAATGAAGGATTGTCGAATATTTTGCTTGTAATGAAAATGATTATTTTACGCTTGTTAGGATGTAAAAGAAAATGAAATGTTTGTTCGGGAAGGCGATGGGTGACCTGAAGTCAAAAGAGGTTCGGGAAGGTTGTTGGAGTTGGTGTGGGTATAAAATACTTCGCGAAGGGTTGAGGGAAGACAGAGAGAAGGGATAAATTTCAAAAACAGTAGAGATATAGAATTATGAGAGAGAGAGAGAGAGAGAGAGAGAGAGAGAGAGAAAGATGGACCATGGAAAGAGATAAATATATATATATATATATATATATATATATATATATATATATATATATACAGAGTGAGAGATTGATAAATATATGGAGAGTTCAAAAACAGAATCACAGATAAAGAAAAAACAAACACATATAGAGAGATAGATAGATAGATAGATAGATAGAAACAGACTGAAGTAGATAGATAGGTAAATATATATGAATATAGATAGAGAGATATAAACAACTTGATAGATAGATTGATTTAGATAGATATGAACAGTCTAAGCTATATATATATATATATATATACACACACAGAGAGCTAGATACATAGATACGAACTCACATAGATAGGTACAAATTGAGATAGATGGATATGAACAGTTTTAATTCTCTCTCTCTCTCTCTCTCTCTCTATATATATATATATATATATAGATAGATAGATAGATAGATAGATAGATACGAACTGAGATAGATACATTGATAGATACATACTTCAAAACACACATAGATAGATAAGGTAAGAGAGAGATAGAGCGATAAAAAACAGACGCATAGAAAGTTAAATAGGTAGATAAAGACACACACACATATATATACATATATATATATATAATATATATATATATATATATTTAAATATATATATATATATTTAAATATATATATATATATATATATATATATATATATATATATATATTACAGAGATGGGTAGAGAAAAGATAGATTCGAACTGATTGATATATATATATATATATATATATATATATATAGATAGATAGATAGATAGATAGATAGATAGATAGATTGATTGATATATACATAGATAGATAAAGATATATATATATTAAAAGATTAAAATAGATATGTATGTATATAAATATATATAGAGAGGTGTATAAAGAGATAAATTGATAGATAGATAGATGGATAGAGACTGATTGAGATAGATATGATTAGACTGATATATATATATATATATATATATATATACATATATATATACAGATAGACAGATAGATAGAGACTGATTTAGATAGATATGAATAGACTGAGATAGATAGATAGATAGATAGATAGATAGATAGATAGATAGATAACTGCTTATGTTATAGCATGATTACACAAAGGTACTGAGAAAGGAAGCACTGTAGAGTGAAAAACGAAAGATAGAGAGAGACACAGAGAGAGAGAGAGGTGGGTATGAACGAGAGGGTGAGAGAGAGAGAGAGAGAGAGAGAGAGCTGAAAAGCAAAACTGAATGCAAAGAAATGATTGTCTTAGAAAAAGTTAGGGAGGGGCGTTTTGGTGTGGGTGAGATATCCGAGTTCAAGCAGAGAGTGGGGTAAGAGCAGAAGTGAATGAAAGACAAGAATATCTCGGTGGAGGAGGAGTCGGTGAAAAAAAAGAGGGAAGTGAGTGAAAGAGAAGGCTGTAGCGTGGGCTGGCATATAATGTTTGAAAAGTGACGATGAGAGCGAGAGGAATACGTGTGTGTATGTGTGTGTGTGTGTGTGACCAAATGTGTACCCCCGGAGGGCAGCAATCGGCGAAGAAGGTTAGACATTCACGATAACAAGCCGGACGGGCGTAACATCCAATGTTGCTTAACTTTAGTAATTACAAACATTGGTTAGTGTTTCTAATAAGCAAAGTAGCCTAAGACAACACAATCTCACAAGAATGGAAACAAAATGTCAGAAACAATATCGGTCAGTGGTGTGGGCGGGTGCGTTTTGTATACGTGTGGAAAACGTACATACAGTACGCGATTGATAAATTGTCGTCTAAATGGCGCCAAAATTAAAATAATACGGGTATCTCATTTTAATAGATATACAGGTTTGCGATGGATAAATTGTCGTCTAAATGGCGCCAAAATTAAAATAATACTGGCATCTTATTTTAAGAGACAGACAGGTTTGCGATGGATAAATTGTCGTCTAAATGGCGCCAAAATTAAAATAATACTGGCATCTCATTTTAACAGATAGACAGGTTTGCGTTGGATAAATTGTCGTCTAAATGGCGCCAAAATTAAAATAATACTGGCATCTTATTTTAAGAGACAGACAGGTTTGCGATGGATAAATTGTCGTCTAAATGGCGCCAAAAGTAAAATAACACTGCCATCTCATTTTAACAGATATACAGGTTTGTGATGGATAAATTGTCGTCTAAATGGCGCCAAAATGAAGGCTAACATCTAATTTTAACTGATATATTTACCAAAATTGCAAAAATCTTGAAATACTAAAACAGTAAATCGCCATTGGTTTCAAACACCACCTTCACACTACTTCAGAATCTCCTGCAACTCTTCTAGATGGTCTCCTTGTATGAATACTGCCATAATCTTTACCTCATTTCATCTTTGGGTTTTGTTGGTCTCTTGCTCAATTTCGTCCCACACAATAATCAACAAGGAGTCAGTCTGGGAAGTTAGGTGTCCAGATATAAGGGCTGATGTGGTCGCGGGAATTGTCTGATGGCCAGATCTGTGTTCTCCTGCTTGTGTGGCATGGTACAGAGACCTGTTGCCAGACATAGGCTCTACCAGCGTCCACCCTCTTGAACCAGGGCACCCCTACCTTCTCAAGACACTTGATGGCGGCCACTGTGTTGAGGCTGAGGCCCTCACCGACAAATTCGGGAGTTCTTTTCTCATCAGAACTATCAGAATGAGTTTTCCGAGCTGCCGTACCTTCGTAATCACCATTAGACTCATCTAACTCTTTCTGAAACCTCTGCACTGTCCTCAGATTGACACCTAAACATACTGAAATATTGGTATTGGAGCTTTCGGCGTGAATGCCAAGAAGTACAGTGTTTCCAAAATTCTAGCAGCATTTTTATAACAAGACTGTACCCAACTGACCCTGCTATAGTGTACTTAAGTAGAAAATATACCTTAATAAGCCTCCAAAATGAAACCACCTTTCTGAGTTCTATCAGAATGGCTGATGCTAACCTCCAGGACAGTGAAACATTAAGGTTTCTTGGAGTAACGTTTTCTGTTGATATGAAGTGGAAATATTATATTGAATCAATTGCTACAACTTCTGCTAGGAAAGTTGGTTTCCTGTATCGTGCTAGATAGTTTTTCTCGCCAGAATCTATCTTACATATTTATAAATGCCTTTCGTCCATGCGTAAATATTGCTGCCACATCTCATGTCGCTAGTATATATATATATTTTTGGATTCAAAAAAAAAATTCGCTTGAAGATGGAACAGAGCTTGGTACTTTAATTCAATTTAATTCAAATAATTATATTGACGTTTTCGACTCTTGTTTTGAAACATGAGAACTCTTATGTAGCGTTGGAATCATATTTTTAAATAAATAATTATATTTATGTTCTACTTTTGTATCGAGCACTATTTTTTAAAAATAATATGAAAAATACTAAAGAACTTTGGATTATTTACCTAACGAGTTCTTTCCTATTTTCTATATATTTTTACACACACACACACACACACACACACACACACATATATATAAATATATATATATATATATATTCTTCATAAAATCCAAAGAGGAATCTGCAATATTATTGGTCTTAACATAACATCTCAGCTCCCCACCGCCGTAACATAGCTTTCCTACGCCTTTGATAAACCCTATATACTCGTGTAACGTAGAGAACCTCAAGGCGGTGTAGTGGTTAGCAAGCTAGTTTCACTAGAATAGTTACCATCGAGAAGTGAGTTCGATTCTCACTGGGTGCCATATGCTTTCGACCTTGTGCCACATCTAAGCTACGCTTGGAAAATCACTGGCCACCCCGTTGCGATGTAATCGTTAGCAAGCTTGTCTTGCTAGAACAATTACGACTGAGTAGTGAGTTCGATCCTTACTGGGTGCCCCATACTTTCGGCCTTGTGCCACATCTAAGCTACGCTTAGAAAATCCCTATACTCGTGTAACGCGTGAGTTCCTTTTTTGAGAGACCAAATTACAATAGACTATGGTTCCATCAGTTCAAACCCGACATGTCTTTTACATTGTAGCAAACCAGCCACATTCCCTCTATCGGTGAGAAGGAAGTTTCACTCGAACAGTTTCTTCCCACGAACCATTACTCTGTAGAACCGACTCCCAAGAGGATGCTTCCCAGATCGTTATAATCATAACCTGTTGAAGTCTAGATTCAACCATTATATTCCTATCTACATAAACTTCTTACTCAGTAACCCTCTTCCATGATTGACTCTACGGGCCCCGTGCAGAGTGAAGGTTACTGCAAAAAAATTTTTTGAAATCCATGTTATTTAACCAATAGGAGCGGGGGAAGAAGAGAGGCCATTTGCGCTGAGGAGGTGAACGCCACTGACTAGGTAAGGGTTTGAACTGTCTCCGCCCATTTGACATTCCGCACCGATATAAGTGGCACGCACGGCGCATCCAATTCGTTCATTATTAGATCTGAATTGGTTTCAACAAATCTATCACGAAGTTAAAGATAAAATATATTTAGGTGGCCGCTGAAATTAATTTCTTGCGTTGAATAAAGCAAACAGATTCAAAATATCTCTGTTTTACGAAAGTTATTAAAGTTTAAAATGGACGGATTTTGTGTTTATATATATATATATATATATATATATATATATATATATATATATATATATATATATATATATATATGTGTGTGTGTATAAGAAGAGAAAGAGAAGGTTATGCGAAAAATCTTTCGATTCAGACCACTTTCGAAAGGGCCAAATATCGAAATGTATTTTTGATTCAACTCTTGGCTAGAATATATATATATATATATATATATATATATATATATATATATATATATATATATATATATATGGGGCAGGGCGTGTTGGGTGTCGGTTTTGTGTAAAAAATTCAGATAAAATATAACTTCCGACCCAAACCACTTTCGAAAACCCAAATATCAAAATGTATTTTTGAGTCAACTCTTGGCTATAATCAATCAATCTATGTATATATATATATATATATATATATATATATATATATATATATATATATATATATATATATATATATATATATATATATATGGAGGTGGGTATGTGTTGGGTGTCAGTCTGTGTGTAAAAATTCAGATAAAATATATCTGTATGAATAAAGGAATAGGGAAAGTTTTACGTTTCTCTGTTCATATATATATATATATATATATGGCTTTTTGTCTTTAATCTTAAATCTATTTAAAGAGAGACAGGCAAACAAACGAAGAGTTATGAATAACTTGATATAGTTATCAACTGTTTGAGTTGCCTAACTAGTTTATTTTTATTTACAATATTTACCTTATTCGGATTATCCTCATCTTCATTGCCATATTCACAACGTTTCAGTTGTTGGACGCTCCGACCTTCTTCAGGTGATTGGAATTTCGAACCAAAATTTCGTCCCTAGGGTTAGATTATCATAGTTCCATAAACAATGACACTTCGGAACAATCTCCTTTTTCCCAACATATGTGGTCAGCTACGCTTGATTTTTTCTATTTCCCCTCGTGTTACCACTTTGCGATGTTCTTGCAGTCTTACCTTAAGGGGGAGGCTTGTTTCTCCTTTATATTTCTTACCACAGCTGCACGGGATGGGGTACGCACAGACCTAGTCATGTTCTCCTCTAGTCATGTTCTACCCTGATTGCTACCCTCTTGATTATTATGTGTGGGGCGCAGTTGAGATATAGTCAACAAAACTCCTTGTAACACCAAATATGGGCAGAAGGCAAGAATTATGGCAGCATTCATTATCTTAAGCAAGGAGACCGTACAGAAGAGTTGCAGGAGATTCCGAAAGTCGTCTGGAGGCCATGGTTGAAGCTAATGGCGATTTTATTGAATGAATTCACTCTAGTATTTAAGATAATTTTGTGTAATTTTGGTAAATATAGCTGTTAAAATATCAGTATTATTTTCATTTATTACGTCATTTAGACGACAGTTTACCCTTCTGTAATAGCAATGTGTCATGCATAAAATATCATTGAACATGTCCGGATTGCTTGTTTGACTAATTTATGCGAATGATTCTTCAATTCTTGAGCTGTAATTAAACAATTTCTGGGATGAGGAGTTATGTACTTTATTTCAAAAGCAACATTGTCTTCATCTTTGTTGATGTCATCTAAAGCTTCTGACACTTGTTCCCCCGGGGCTTCATCAGGTTTGTATTGAATTGGGTAACTAACAGGGAATTTCGATCTGAACCCTTTATTTAATCTACGTGGGTAGACTGTTCTTGTTCCACTGCCGATATCGAGCGATGTATTGTCTTGTTTTTAATAATACTGAGTTATTGCTCGCCCTGTTTAAATTGAGTCCAAGTACACACTCACATCACGTTGAAACCGTGCTCCCTTACGATTACTGAAGTTAAGCAATGTCGAGCCTGGTCAATACCTAGATGGGTGATCTCTAGGGAATACCAAGTGGTGTAAACTTGGATGAGCAGGTGTTGTAACTTATAATGGCTCGGAATTAGAAATCGTTGAGCCGAGTTCCAATTCCAGTCGGGTTTCTTATATTCACCTACACGGAAACAACATTGTGAAATGTATGAATCCTCATCTTCTCCCCCCAGCTATGGGTTAATTAGTAAAAAAATATTCTTACAATCTAAAAATATTTTGGGGCGTTAAGTAACCTGCAAAGTGCGGATAAGCCGTAGCAAATGAATTCAATCAACCACGGACACACTGCCGATGGATTGAACCTGTTGTGGATTCCGGGATGAAATCCGGTACTAATAAATAAGAAACGCCAAGAAGAAATATAGGAAAATAAATGTATTAATGTAATAATACAAACTGGTAATGCAGGTTAGTAGTTCCAGGAATGCGGGTTAGTAGCAAAATCTATATATAGTCTTTGGTATCGACGTATCACTGTATGACTTCTTACTGAGTCTACTTGCTTGCTCATTGTGACTTTTGCTCGTCACGTTCCTTCTGATTTGTCGTTCTTTCTCGTTCTTCTCTCGGGTATTCACTGGCAGGAGTATATGTATACCCTGGGTGAGTCCATTTGTGTAAAAAAGGGAGAACCCCTCAACACAATCCATAATTACTATGCCACCAAATTCTCGAAACAACGATTTAATCTACTGGGCTATAGTTCTCTGGGACTATCTAGCTGGATGAGATATACGTATGCAAGGAGCAAGAACAAGTCGAACTGGTTGATTAAATAAAGTTTTCAGTTCCGAATTCCCTGCAGATTATCTACATTGATATAAACCTGAGGAAGCCCCGGAGGGCACAACGGTCGAAACGTTGTCATAAAGACAAAAAGATAAGGATAATAATCAGAATGTAAATAAGTAAACAATGTTGTTAACCGCATCCTTACTTAAAAGCTTTGATGATCTTTATGTGAATTTTTTTTATGTCTACCTCTTTGAAATGTCTAATATTCTTTTATTTTATTTTTTTTGCACAAGCGAAGACGTTATTTTTTTTTTAATTGTAATTTCCGTTGTAAGAAATTTTGATTTTCTTTGAGAATATTGTTGCTCGTATAAACAACTTTTGGAAAATATTTTCTTTTCTTATTTTAAGCCTTAAAGAAAAATTATTTTTCGTCTTTTAAGCACTTCCCCAGGGTAGACGAGTGTATATGTTTTGTTTTTACCGAAAGTGTCTTTTTCAGACACGGACGAATAAACACGTCCAAAACATAACATTTAAAAACCAGCTACAGATGTGTTTATACGTAGATCTTGATTCTTTTAATACTCTTCTGAGCTTGAAGCGAGTCCAATTGTCAACTCATACGTTTGGTAGAGGTGTGAGCCACCGCTTAGATACTTCAAGGGGACTCTGTTCTTAATCAATCTTGATTCTTTTGATGCCCTTCTGACCTTGAAGCGAGTTCAATTGTCAACTCATACGTTTGATAGAGGTGTAAGCCACCGCTCGGATAATTCAGGGTGACTCAATTTCTTATTATATTAAAAACAAATAATAAAATTTGTCTGAAAATGAAACGTTCTTATCCTTTCAAACTTAACGCTCGTCTGAATTTAATATTAAAAGCTAACCTTTCTATTTAATTAATATTTGCTTAGAAGTTTTTTTTGATAATCCTAGTTTATTTTCATATCATTTCATCCCAAGCAAGGCGATAATGTCACTAAGACGTAAGGATCTGTTATCCTAATTTTGATTGTTAGAGTTATAATTAGAGAGACAACGGTTCGGGCTTATATCCTTTGACCAAGTGTTTATCCTTTTCTCTTTGTTATTATTCAATCAATATAAAGCCCGAGAAAAACTCAAGGTAGATGGTTAACGAATGAAATTGTTGTAACGGCATAAAGGGAAGGGTAAAAAGTACATTTTCTGATTATAGATAAGATAGATAGCTCTAGGCTTGAAGTGGTTAAGATTGTAGTGATCGTGGAAGAATCTTATCGAGAATCTATTCCACAACGTAGGGGTTTTAATTGGAACTTCGTCCTTACAAATGGAATATTAAGGGAATGAGGATATCGAATTTGTCCACGTCGCATAGCAGATCCTAGCTGGGAAGGTCTGAACTGATGAAATTGTGGAATGTAGCTAGCTTGATGATTTGCTATAAAATAGGTTGTAGCGAGAGGCTAGCAACCTTTCTTCTGAACTAAGGTTGGGTGTAAGGTAGGAAATAATTCAACACCCCAAGGCCTCATAAAAGCTTCTGAACGCGGACTAACACCGACTGTTTATTCGACAGCAAATCAGTTATGAAATTCCACAAGAAGAAGTAATTATTTATTTATTTACTTATTAAACGTTTACGGAATGAGGTCATTATATTGATGTAACAAAATGGAATAAGTACCGATTATGAGAACAGTTGACAGTAGACTTGAAGAGGTTAAGATGGAAGGGATCGAGAAAGTATATTCTGGAGAGTCTGTTCCACAAAGTACTGATATTTGAGAAGGAAGTGAATGACACTTTATTCTCTAACCAGTAGAATATAAAGAGATGAACGTCGTCCTTACATTCTCGCTATGTTATGTGTGAAAGCCTGCCCAACTACTTCGCTCGAGGGATCGTTTATATATCTATTTGTTCAAAGATTTTTTTTCTAACGTGCGCACATATCAAGAGTCGTCATTGAAGACGTTAAGATTGAAGTGATCGTCGTCCTTACATTCTCGTCCTGTGATGTGTGAGACCCTGCCCAACACTTTCGTTTGACCGATCCTTCATATATATATATATATATATATATATATATATGTTCAACGATTTTTTTTATCTAAGGCGTACATATCAAGCACCGTCTTTGAAGACGTTAATGTGTTAAACTCTCGGCGTTACCACTGGGAATGGGTAACTGGCAAATCTGCCGTCTCGACTGGGACTATATATTTCCTTCAACGATCTAGTGTGAAATTGAAACCAAGCCTATTCCGGTATAATATCACAGTATTCTCAGTATCCTCCTGTAGAACCACATGTTTGCTGCCTCGAGTCCCCTTTTATTTTTGTGGAAAATGTATATATCAGTTCGGCATTCTTTTCTTTGTTTTAACGAAATTTTCCTTTTTGGAAAAATTGTTAATTTGTATCAATGTTTGAAAATACAAAGTGTACATATATACAAAATTTTTTCAAAATTAGGTCGGATGATTTGTCGAAAATATATTGCACGTATTTGATACAACAATGGAGTACAAAAAGGTTGATATTTTTGTGCAGCAATGTTTATGATAAGACACTCAGCCAACA